CTTGGTTAGAGCCATGATGCATTGCTCAACAGTGGCTGATTGTGTTGCTTTCTCTGTTCAGCTCTCTTTAAGTCTAAGCTGGGGGACAATGCAAAGAAGACATTTTCATGTTAGTAGCTGGTGTGATTAGTTAGTAAGTCTGTTGGCAGTAGCCTTGTGTGGTACGCAATTTGTTGTTAAAGGAAAATGCTTCTCTGCTGGCATCACGAGCATAGAGTCCAGCTTATCAATCATAATTTTGCGAAGTGGGGTGGATCAACATATGCCACCCTGAGCTCTTTGCAGGAAGGGCATAATACACAGTAGACACACAGAAAGAACCTCATTCTTTGGAGTTCTCCCATTCTGTTTAGGTCAGGCACTCAATTCTTTAGCTTTAATAAATGAGGAAAAGGATGATAACATTACTGTGCATCTTGTAGCTGTTGACATCCTTCCTAAAGCTTTTCCCCATCTGGGTACTAATCAGGCCTCATTCTGATTAGCTTTCAAATTCAGGCAAGGTTGCTCATGTCCAGGGTGATATGGCAAGAGATCTTTTAAAGTTTTGGTCATGTTACATCTGTGATAGAATTTGCATTGTGTCTAGTTCTATATGATTTTTGTTTCTTCAGATGGTGTTACATGCATTTTATTGTATTATATTTTTGTTGTTGGAAGCCACTCCAGACATTGCAAATGAGGCAGGATATATTTTAAATAAAATAAGCAAAATAGTGTACCTATGGCTGCCAGCTTTCCTATTATGTAAATGTTAACTAAACTTCCAGTTCATGCCATACCTTGCTAACTGCTTGGTTTCTTCAATACCCAATAAAAGCATTTCCAGGTGATTTATTTTTGCGCAACAAAGACAATTGCTATTCATATGTTGTCAGATCCACATTTTTTTCCTTGAAAGTGTTGGGATGCTGCATTTTCCCTAGCAATTATAGTGTTTGAAATGTGGTTGTGCAAGAGTTATAAATAGTAACTAGATAGTGCCTGTAACATGTTCTCTTCCCTTGCCCCATGGTCCCATTACTTTGTGGTCTTTAAGACATTTTTAAAATTAAGTCTTTCAGAGCTGAGCACTCCCTGGCAAGCATGTGAGTGCTCATATTCCCCTTTAAAATATGGCCCATGCCAGTGAGGTTACCCCTTTTCACTATTGTAATATAGCATTTTGTGGAATTCTGGCTTTTATTCTTTGAAGGCTGTGGTTCTTCTGCTCTATACAGAAAAATTACACCCCACATTTAACATAACAAAGGCATTGTATAGGAATTAGGCTACCTCCTGTAACTAAGGTCCTTCCCTGTCCATTACTTGAGGATGGAATGAGTGTAGACTTTTAACATTTGATGCATATTAAAATAAGATGCTAGAGACTGCTGAGATTTAATGTCATACATATGGCAAGGAATGAGTCAGCCACTGATATGTTAGGGAAGCGACATATTTTTTTGAGTTCATCCTTACTGGAGAGACCATGATGGTTGTACAGCAAGGAGTAACCTTCTCTAGATCCTTTGTGCCGATGATTTTTTGATTAACTGTTCAGTACTTCATAGCCTGTAGCCCTATGGATTGAAGTAGAGTAGATTCATGACAAACAAAACAAAGTACTTCTTGACGCAAAGAGTAATTAATTTATGGATTTTGCTGGCACAGGCTGCAATGATAAAGTTGGCTTTAAGCAGGGATTAGACCAGGGATCCTCAACGTGGTGCTCACCAAGAACTTTCCTGGTGTCCTTCAACTGCTTTTTGAAAGTAGGCAGGGCTAGATGAGGGTTTTGCACAGCAGGGTGTCTGATTGGCTGTACAGATTTAAAAGCATTAATAAACAGAGCTGTTGAAGAGGTGCTATTAGAGTTATATGTAACCTATCTCCCATTTTGTGTTTGGCTTCACCTCCTGTGGCACCAATTTTGTGATTGTGCCCACTGCCCTGCATCACAATTTCAAAGACACTGTAGGCTCAAAAAGGTTGGAGACCCCTGGATTAGACAGATCCATGGAGGACAGGTTCATTACTGGCTATTATCTATGATAACTAAATTGAATCTTCATGTTTAGTGGCAGTAATGTTCTGAATATCAGTGCTTCAAGGAGGCTTTGGTCTGTGTACCCTACTTGGAAGCCTTCTGAGGGAACCTGGTTGGCTGCTGTGTAAAACAGGGTGATGGACTAGATGGACCCTTTGCCTGACCCAGCACAGATGCGCTTGTCTTCTTTACCTTAAGATACGTTATCTCTTGAATTCAGATCTTGTCTGTTAAATATAAATCCTAGGATAACTTCATTGACTGATATAACATGTCTTAACATTATTTTCTGAGACTTCACTTTCTTCTGAAATCACAACACAAACCTGGTGACAGAGTGAGCTTTGCTAATAGTGTTACAGATCCCTATTGTCTCCTGTAGTCTGAGAACCAAAGAACACAGCATCATCTAGTCTTTAAAAAGAGGTATTTTTCTAATCTTTATTAAGCTCCTGAAATGCACCCCTACATTCTCTGAAGTCATCACTTAAAAGCAAGACACAAACCTCTTATTGCCAATCTTCTTCAGACAGATGGTAGGTCAACGGCTTGAGAGAGAAGAAAATAATGTATAGCTCTAGCACATGATTAGGCTAGATACAACTGAAAGTTTAAAATGGGTTCTCAAAAACACATCCCACATAAAGATAGCTGTTCAGTCCTAAGCATCTTTACCTCGAAGTAAGTTTCACTTCATACAGTGTAACTTACTTCCAAATAACTGTGCATTGAATTGCAAATTTAGGGTGTCTGGTTTGCTCTAATTAATTGCTGAAGAATCAAAGTTACCTCATTCTATCAGTGAGAACATTTCTTTACATTTAGTGACAGGAGCCTCTATACATAATATGGAATGATTCTCTGCGCTGTTTACCTTATTTTAGGATTATTTCATTATTGCCCTAGTATGCTGTCAAATTGTTGTTTTCCTTCATGGTGTGGCTAGTTGTATCACACCTGGAACAATTCCACATTAGCCCATTATGGACCAGGTTTAATCCTAGATAGTCAAAGCAATTTGTTGTTAAAGGGGAGGGGGCAACATTGACAAATCCACCATGAAGGATGACCTGTACTGCAGCTTGAACCAATTAAGCATGTAAGAGCTCGGGGGTTACGAGATGTCTTGTCCATATTATTAACAGACTATAGTCTGATCTGGTTTAAAGATCCAGTCCAATCAATCAACACAACCATCCCATTCCCACATTCCTTTGCATGGCTTCTGCAGAGGCTCCACTTGAGTGGTTTTGCAGTACAACATGGCTGCATTAAGGCTTTAGTTGAATTATTAAGCCTTACAGTAGTTCTATTCACCGACAATGAATGCACGTACAATCCGTGTACAGTGTACATTTTTAAAAAAATGTGCATTAATTCTCATGTAATTCAACCATGTATGGCTGAACATGTGATTTATCCAAGTACCGGTCTCGAGTTTCATTTGTATAATGAATGCACATTGGCTCTTTCTTACAACAGATGTACATGCAGGGAGTACGTGCGTTTACTGTTAACATGAGAAGGCTAGCTAGTATCCAGACCTCTTTCTTGTAGCATTGAACTCCTTTACTGAACTAGCCTCTACGGCCAGAAACATCCTAGTTAGCAAAGCTTCCAGGAAGGCAAACCAGTTTGCAGGTTTAGCCAGATCACTCCTAGCATCATGCTAAAACAGATCTTTTGAAGTTTCTTGCAAAATGCCATCAGTTTACAGCTGTGAATCTGGCTGTAGGCTTCCAACCTTTGTTTAGCTAACTTCAGTGCAGTGAGTGAAGGCAACATGTACTGTATTGCACTGAATACTGTGTGTAGTCTACAAAACTCTGCCTTCTACTAGGATCCACGCTCTGTCTGCTTGGCAAGCTGCAGAAGCCTCCTTATGTGTACTGCATGGACAGATTACAGACCATCACACCAGGGGCTTAAATCTATGGGTAAATATTCATAGTTTATTAAGCTTCAGGGAAAGCATGAAGCTATTTAAGGCATATATGGAAGAACAGTGTAACAACAGAATCTGTATCTGAGGAAAACAGGTTTACTGGGTGTTAACATGTTAGCTTGACTTGAGTGCCCTCCACGTGTAACTAACAAGACAGTGTGAGCTCCATGCTGCTGCTTATTTAGTACTGCAAAGGCCTTCTTTAGGCTAACTGACTGAAGGGAGTGGGTGTGCATGTGTGCAGGAGAATAAGAGGCCCCTGCAAGTGGTGAAGTGTAGCTTTTACCTTAAAATGACAGAAAGATGGACTAGTTCAGACTGGTTCTGAGTACACGTGTACTTTCGCATCAAACATCTATAGGGACAAGGAATCCCAGCTCTTTTCACAAAAATGACTGGCAGGGCCAGTGTCAGGTTAGTGAATTCTTAGTAGGTACCATCTTTTTATAAAATTAGCAGTAGGAATGCACATGTAGAGAGCTGTTTTTTCTCTAGTCACCCATCCTCCCTTTCCTGCTACATATAGGTTTATGGGATGGTAGTTAACACCATGTGTCTGCGCAGGGAGCACTGACTGCTTTTAGAAAAAAGAAAGAGATCAACCTCCCTGCCCCCAGTAGTTATTCACAACCCCCCAAATCTGCACTTGTTTAGCAGAAAGATGCAACTGCTTCCATTCAACTCTTTCTTTGAAAAAAGATGACAAATAGCATGGGGAAAGAGAAACTTCACAACGGCACTTACATCAGAACCCATATTTGAATTACAGTGCTGAGATGCCCCTGCACATGGCTTCCATACTGGAGCCAAATGCAATACAGTTTCGTCATATAGGAACGAGTGTCATACAACTTGCTTAGTGAGGTTTATAAGCTAAGGCTTGGCTGAAATGACATCCAACAAAATGAATCACCAGAAGGTTTCCTGTTTATAAAACAGCTGGTCATTTTTACCAATAGCTAATTGCTTCTTCAATGTGGTTTCATGCTATTGTTAGCCTTTGAGGCTCTGCTATCATCTCCCCCATCCTCACTTCAGATTTTCCCCACGTTTGGGTATCCTCCCCCCTTTGACAGCAACTTTGAATCCTTAAAAAAAAACCAACCTCAGCCGTGTACATTATTAATGAAAGGAGTTGCATTATCTCACAAAGTAAACATAGGGGTATAGAGGGGTGTTTATTTCAGTCCAAGTTCTGAAGCCTGGGGGCATAGAATCCGTGCATCCTGCTCTCCTGCTGATCTCCTATGGGTCAGCTCAGATTTCAGCTGCAGTATGATCACTTCAGCAGCTTGTCTATTGATGCCATTTGCTTTGTTTCCTAAAGAGATGATGGCGCTGGTGACCACCTGGTCTGGTTTTGCATTTGGTCTTTGTTGTCCAACTCTGGTTACTTTCTGTTACCGTTGGTGACTTTGCCGACCCACATCAACTACATATCTTTATGTGGTTCCTGTTTCATTGGTGTTGCATTATGCCAGGGAGTAGATAGCATTAACTGGTGATGTGGCTTCTGAGCTTTCATTGCCTTCTGTCTCCTCTTTGTCCTTCTTGACTGTGTATTGGCCAATAAAGGAGCCGTCCTCATTGAACTGCCCTTCACCGCCTTCACCATAGTCCACCAAGCTGTCATCACTTTCTTGTTGCTTTATCGTGCCGTCTAATGAGGTCTGACTGCCCTGTAATGGCTTGTTGTCTTCATCACTAGCATCAAAAGGAAAACAAGTGCCATCAGAAGTAGAAGGGCATGGATGGTTTCAAAGGAGCAGTATAAAAACCTTAAACTTGTGAAAGGGGTCATCCACCTGCAATTTTATTCAAAAGTAGTTAAAACAGTGCTGGAGATTCTTGGGAAATAGGACTGCAGGTGGCTTATTGCAGATTATCTGGAAAGATCTTTGCAGATGCAGTAACTGCTTTAATATATTTAGGTATGAAACTTGACTATTTCCTAAGCACCTAAATAAATTAGGAAGGATCAAATTCCTTCTTCAAAGCATTGTTATGGTGGAAGCCCTACTGAAGTGCTATGACTGTAAAAGGCTTTGAAGAGTACATGAGCCCCACAGTCATACCAAAAGGTACCTTTCCTGGCACCAAGTGCTCTTTCGGCAGAATGCCAGAGAGATGGTAGTAACAGCTGAGTTAGATCCAAACGGGACATAGATGTTTAAATGCTATTTTGACTGTTTTAAATTTACTCTTTTACCTATGCAACTTTTAAAAATGATATAGACCTGCTTGTAAATTGGCAGGTTTACTATAACTGTTTATTTCAATACTCTTTCTGAAACCAGGACCCTTAAAAAAGTGCAAGTATACACACTGTTTTACACCAATAACTCCATATATACTACTACACTTCTTCTTTTCTGTACTGTTGTCAGCCCTCAAGATAGTTGGCAATATTGAGCAAGTACTTGCTGAATTTAAGAGGCTATGTTAACAATCTTGTAGCTTTAAAAAGTCTAAGGCAAATTCAAAGATTACAAGCTTATTGATGGTTATAAGCCATCGTGACTAAAATGTGATTTCCATGATCAGAGGTAATTAACAATACATCCTCCTGTGAACTCCCCGAAGGAATCTGGCTAGCCAGAGAGATGGTCTAGGAAAAACTTTGGGTTGACCTAATGGGATTTTTTTAAAACCAGAGAATTAAAGTAGAGATATTTGTATACGTATTTGTATGCAAACATAAATAGGGACGGATGCCCTTGGCTCAATGGTTGTCTTCCTTTTGCTCTATATTAATGTAGATTTTTTTCAAAAAAATTAATCACTCTCCCTTGGCCACTGCTATGAAGCTGAACTATTTATCCTAGCCAGCACTGAATAATATCATTACAGGTTCTGTCCCTTCACCACTATTCCACAGAATAGTGTTTTGCCATAAGAACAGACTTAGTAGACAGCCAGTTCCTATATCCCATTATCTTGCCTGATACTGGCCAGTACAAGCATCATCAGGAGATTACATACAGCAAGCATAGGAAAAATGCCAGAGTATTCAAACTGTGCATCATTCCTTCCCTTATATTCCCTGAAAGGCCTGAACAACCAAGGACAAAAAACTTACTAACTACATGTGATGGCCCTTCAGGGGCTCAAACCTGCCTGGAACTGCAACAACAACATGTGTTTGTGTGTGTGTGTGTGTGGGGGGGGGTAAAGTAACTGGTAAACTACCACACATAACTGGTAGATTATGTTCATTTTGGTGGATTGCAAATCAAACTGGTCTATTTATACACACTGGAGACATTCATAAAGTTTTGTGTTCCTACATTCCTTACCCACTAATATGCTTGGCAATTGGTACCTCTTGTAATAGGAACTGCCATAGATCAGTTCCTATCAGTAGGTGGCTGTTCCAGGTCACTTGCATTACACAAGTTTGAATTAGAATATCACCTCCCTTGTCTTTTTGAAAGAGGTGGTGATCAGCAGTGCTTGAATTTTAGTTTGGTCTGCCTAGCAAAAACATAAAACTTATGTTTGGCAATCATGGTTTAATCTGAGTTCCCAATACAACGATGCATGTTAATTTCATAATCAGAGGGTTTTGTAAGAAATTCAGTCAAAACTAAGAGGAACTATTAGGACAACATAAATAGTTGAATTATTCGTTAGAGCAAAGAGGCACAAGATAAGAATGGCAAAACCAAGTAATGTTTGTCTGAAATCATTTTTTCAATATTTAGGAAGTGCTAAAATATAGTTTGCACCAGAATATGCCCCCCAATTCCCCCTCCAGTCAGACTAGTAAATACATCTGTTGGTGTTGACCTTCCACAGGCTACAGTCCAGAGAACTTTTGAATTCTTTCCCCCACCTCACCCCCCCCCAGACAGCAGCCCCTCATACTGCTTTTCACAGAGAACTGCTGTTAAAAGTGTCAGAACTTTCTCCCATGCATGTGTAAGCCCTTTGGTCACACCTAGCGTTGCTCTCTGGATTGTGGGCCAACAACTGGGATTTTTTTTGCAGTTAGTCCATTAGGTCAGTACATAAGTCTTATTTGCTGCTTTACTGAAAGTATTAAATAAAGGAAGCCCAAGTTTAAACCGGCTTAGAGGCATCATGTTCAAGAGTTGCATATGTCAGAGTGGATGTCTTGCCAGTGAAAGGTTTGCAGAGAACCTTCACTCTGAATTGACATATAGCTTTCCAGAGCTGCCAGCTTTGTCCCCACCCCCACCTCATTTCACAGCACAGCATCTGAAATCAGGTGAATCTAGCTTTTCAGGAGCAAAACATATGAGTAACTTACCTGAGAAACTGGAACAGATCAAAATCCCAATCCAAAAATCCCTTTTTCATGTGAGTAATCCACCCTCAGTTGAGCAACTAGCTGATGGCAGTCATTGCATAATATAAGGATTAGTCACAGAAAAAAGGATGAAGTTGAGGGCCATGATAATTCAATTGGTTGTGGCAATGGTTCCCAATCTGCAGGCAGAATGCAACTCATTGGACAAAGGGTGCCCCAAATCTCAAGGTAAGGGATATAAAATGATTATTTAATGGTGTTAGATGAAGGTTGGTGGTGAAGAGGCAGGGAAGGGAGGAGGGCAGAAAGTAAGGTGTGTTTTAGTGATGGAACTGCCGAAAGAAAAAAGCTGTGTGTGCCAGACTTTGGGGCAGTCCACAGTCCTACCTTTCAAGAGACCTTCATGGTCCATGTAGAAAGACAAGGTGAAAAGGAGAAGGAATGGGAATAAAACAGAGAGAGAAGCAGAAAGAGCCTGATCAGAAAGCAAAATGGTGAGGTATGCATTTCAGGGGGTAGTGCTCAAAAACACCACTGTTTTTCTGAGAGGGCTACCACCTTATCATACCAAGTGAAGTCAGCACTTGAAGAACACTCTCATATTGTTGGGTACACATAACCCCTCCCCCCAATACATCAAAATATGTATATTATGAGTAAATGATTTGTGGATGAACCATTTAAAGGGAGAGCAGAGGAGATATCTTCTGAGCTAAGTAGTGAAGGGGTCAGAGGATAGTAGTAGCTGTTAAGCATTGCTGCCAGCCTGCATTGCCTTGTTACATGTACTAGTGAAAGGCAGCTGAACAGCCACGGGGTCGGAATGCCTGCGGGTCTCTGTCACACTATCCTGGTGACATGAAGCAAATCAAGCATTTTGCCTTCAGAGGGGGGAGGCATTCAGTTCCCACGGCGAATGGACAGCTGTGCACATGAGAGGGCTGT